GTGTTTATCGGTGGTTAAAAAACGGCTTTGCTGGGTGAGCTGAATGTTTAAGAGTCTGCAGTAACAATATCTTCGGTTAATCTTCAGAGAGAATCGACCAGAGAGAGACTAACTGCTGCTGCTGCGGAAATATTCAGCCACACCGCAGGAGGAAGGATCGGTCATCAGCTCAGACTGCTGGAAAACCCGGATCACCTCCGAGCCTCCAGGTAGAGTTTGCTGATCCAGGCTTTACTGGAGCTTCGGCATGTTGTTAGTTTCTGGTTTAAAACTTCATTTAAATCTCTGTTTTGCTGAAGTTGGAATTCTGCTGCATTTAATGAAATCCTATTTATTTCACTTCACTCTAAATGTGACACAAACATTGAATGTTTAAAACTGAGCTTCATAATTTTATACAAACAAAAGATGAGAGTAAAGACACATTTTGATTTTAATTTTCTATTGTGGCAAAAAATCACATCAAACCTGGACATAATTATTGTAGTTTGAAAATCTTTATTCAGTTTGTGAAAACACAGATTTTAAAGCTTTTTTAGTGTTAAGAGCATCTTGGCTTTAAAAGTCCAGACCTAGACACCGAGAACAGATTGTGAATTTAAGTTTACTGCGGCCTGAAGTTAGTATTATTTAGATCTTAGGTATATTTATCTACTCTAAATCTAAATCTCTTACTTTAGTTTAGTATAACAGAACATAAATGAGTGTATTTTTCTATGCTTACTTTATACTTAACTCAGTTGAAACTGTTTTAAACTCATCAGCTTTAGTTTTGCATACATCACTTATTTTGTTATCTTTTCTTTTGCCTAAAAATGAATTTTCTATTGCAATTTCAAAAGCCAATAATGCAAATATAATAAACATTGTGACAAGAAAAGTTAGATTTTCCCATCTGGACAGGGGGATCATGTTCTGTGGAAATGGCGCTCTGCCCAGGAGGCGTGTTGAGCTTCCTCTCTGAAACGGATCCATGATTAGTTGCAACAGTCAACTTTATTTGGGAAATATTTATTTTAGATGTAAAACCAGTACATACTGTAGGTTATTCATGTAAAATCTACTAACCTGGTAAATAGTGGTGCACCGATTTATCAGTGCTGATTTCCTTGATTTTGGGAGATCAGCTGATTTTTACATGTGAATCTGACTTCAATCCTCAATAAAGCAAAACAAGTTTTGGGGCATAGTACACTTCATTCTCTGTACTGTACCTTAATCTTACCATACAGACTGGAGGAGCGGGAACTGCTTCAGTCCTTCAGTGGAACCAGCTCCCTCTTCTTCATCACTAGATCTTCCTCCAAAACTGCAGATAAATCGCTCACAACTTCCTGCGCTTCTGTGTACTCAGCCTTAGTCATTTACGTTTTGACTGATTCTCATTATGTCACAAGATGGCGGCGGCATTTAACCCAGTTACTACAGACGAAAACAGTGACACTCTGCGATGACGTGGAATTTATAGTAGCCTGATAAATATTTATTATTAAAAGCTTTTGTGCTCACAGAATGAAAGCGCAGTTCCAGTGGCTGGTGGTGTGTTTAGAATTTCAGTTTTTAGTACTTGTTACCATAGTGTGTTAAAAATGAGTAAATTTTATTATTATTGTCAAGTTCTTTTTTTAAACTGTGCAACTTCCCCACTTGAAAAGGGATGGATGACCCCCCTCTTAATGACAGGGAATTTACTCGAGGGACCAAACAGTTTTCCTTGCTTTTACTTCCATTTATTTCAGTGTATGGACATGTTCACCATTGATCCAGAGGATGCAGGTAAAAACCGGCTGCCTCTCTGCTCATCTAAAAGATCATCCAGTTGTACACAGGTTGACTAGGATCTGTGATTCAAAAAGTCCCAAACTCCTGTCCTCTTTGTTTGGCGGCTTTAACTTCCGTCTTCTCTCTTTTTTTCCCTTGTCCGTCCCTCTTTTAGGTCCGTGTGGGAACGCGCGACCTTTTTTTTTTTTTTCTTCTTTCTGATTTGACTTCACAATTATTTTGTCAAAATTGAATGTCCTGACTAAGTCAAAAAGTCTTGAGGTAACAAAGTAGTTTATGGAGTATTCTATGCAGTTACAACCAGAAAACAGGTCAGTGCCAACCCTAAGATTACAGGAAGGTTTGACATTATCTATTGACGTATCTTTGTCCGTCTGTTTCAGGCTGTGTATTGATAGTTGTCTTAATGCTGTGTTAACGTTAACTCTGAAGACAATGTGTAGAAACCTTTCTCTGCCTTAATAGTTGTACAGAAGAGCTTAAAGTCGAAAAGTGAACTTTGACCATCGGTTGGATTCTGAAAATGTTGAAGTTCTTCATCTGTGAGGCAATAAGCTAAAACTTATGTTACATTTTCTATTTGTCTTTTTTTTTCAGATCTGCCTCAACAATATGTCTGTTATCAGGCAAGATGTTGCTGCTCACTATTTTGTCCTAAACCAACAAGAGATTTCTGTTTTGGACCAGAGGGAAGCAGAATCTCTAAAAACTGAGAGAAGAGCAGAAGAACCAGAACTTAGACAAGTAAAAGAAGAAGAGTATGGATCGGAACCTCTGATAAATGTGAAGAAAGATAAAAACATAAAGCAAGAGACGGACACCTTAATGGGAACACATTCTGGATCTCTTGAAATAAAGGAAGAACCAGAGGAAATAGAACTGCAACAATTGAAAGATGACTATTGTCAATCAGAATCTCAGCAGATGGTAAAAATTGAGGTTGACAACATCAGTCAGGATGAAAATCAGGAAGTACTGAAGCAGGAGACAGATACCCTAACGGTAACCGATTCTGGATCTCTGGAACTCAAAGAGGAACCAGAAGAACTAGAAACTAAAGAAGTGAAGGAAGAGGAGCATGGATCAGGACCTCAGCAGATGGCAGAAAAAGATGCTGTAAGCATCAGCCTTGATGAAAAGCAGGATGTACTGAAGCAGGAGATTGATAATTTAATCACAAAGACTTCTGATGGTGAAACAAACCACCAACAACCACAACTCAAAGGAAACCAAATCGTCTTTCAGAATATCCCTGAAACGGATCATCATCAGAAAATAAAGACTCACAACAAAGGTCAAAGTGGCAATGTAGAGAAAGGGATGAAGGGTAGGAAAACTTACAAAGGTAAAAACTATAAGCAATGCACAGTGTGTGGAAAAAAGTTCAAATGCAGGAGCGATTTAACAAGTCACATGAAAACTCATAGAAATGAGAATCCTTTCTCATGTCTAACCTGTGGGAAATGTTTAAGTCGCAAACAAAGTTTAGACAGACACATGATGACGCACACAGGTGAGAAGCCTTTCTCATGTCTAACCTGTGGAAAAGGTTTCACTCAAAAAAGTTATTTAGACCAGCACATGAAAACTCACACAGGTGAGAGGCCTTTCTCATGTCTAACATGTGGAAAAGATTTCATTCAAAAAAGTAGGTGGACTTGCCATATGAAAATTCACAAAGCTGAGAGACCTTTCTCATGTATAACATGTGGAAAAGGTTTTATTAAAAAATATAGTTTGACTTGCCACATGAGAACTCACACAGATGAAAAACCTTTCTCATGTCTAGCTTGCGGAAAAAGTTTCATTCAAAAAAATATTTTGACTCGCCACATAAAAACTCACACAGGTGAAAAGCCTTTCTCATGTTTAACCTGTGGAAAAGGTTTCGTTCAGAAAAACAAATTGATTCACCACATGAGATCTCACACAGGTGAGAAGCCTTTCTCATGTGTAACCTGTGGGAAACGTTTCTTTCAAAAACATAGTTTGACTATACACATCAAAACTCATACAGGTGAGAAGCCTTTCTCATGTCTCACCTGTGGAAAAGGTTTCCTTCAAAAACGTAGTTGGACTTTTCATATGAGAAGTCATTCAGGTGAGAAGCATTTCTCATGTTTAACCTGTGGAAAACATTTTATTGAAAGTAGTTGTTTGAGAAAGCACACAAGAACTCACACAGGTGAGAAGCCTTTCTCATGTGTAAGCTGTGGAAGAGATTTCACTCATAAATATAGTTTGAATTGCCACATGAGAATCCACACAGGT